GTGTGTGTGTGTGTGTGTGTGTGTGTGTGTGTGTGTGTGTGTGTGTGTGTGTGTGTGTGTGTGTGTGTGTGTGTGTGTGTGTGTGTGTGTGCGGGTTCCTGCTGCTGTGTGTGTGCGCGCCAAAGGAGGGTACACCTTCTTTCACTAAAATGCGACACCACCTCGAAGGGGCCTTTTGGGGCATGTCTCGAACTGGTTGGAAACGCCAAAACGGGAAGTTCTGTGGATTTTCTTTGCAACAACCCAAAAGAGGACGCCCTCGAAAAACCACCCCCACAACGCCCCCGTCGGAGTCCCCACGCCACAGGTGGCCGGGCACTTTGAGAGGAACTCCCGGTACGCCGCCTCACGCACCTCGAAGCTCTCCTCGGTGCGGATTGCTTCGCGACCGGAGCATGGACACATCCCCTCCGTGCGATTGATCATTCGCATTTCGGAAGGTTTAAAACCCCAGTTAAAGGCAATATGTTAGAAAGCCATATGCTCAAACCCAGATGGGTGTGTGTGGTTTGGGTAGAGGCGAATGCGTAGTTAACCTTTCATAGAGCCGAAGCCGGCACTGAAAAATAGGGACGTCGCTCAAGGTTGGGTGCAGTCTTCCCTCGGTCCCTCCTATGAATTTGGCCTGTCAAACGCGCATAATACAATGCACCCGCCGCCCAAATAAGGAAGAACCCTTTGGACGGCACATGGAAAAGTAAGAAGAACCCGAATAGTTTTAAGTAGTTCTTTTGTTTAGAAATACCCACATGAACGCATCCACCAGCACATCCAAGGCTTTTTGTTGAGAACTCCTGCGACGTAGAGGCTTCTAATCATGGCCCCCAAAGAATCGGCTTTTCGCAGCAAGGCCCCCCCCAAAAAAAAGAAAACAGGACTTCTCCTGGGGTGTCCCAACGTGGGCTTGCTTCCGCACTGGCACTGGGGGGCCCGGCGTTGTTCGCTGGGTCCTGCACAATGGTCATGTGCACCACTGGCTTCCCCGAGAACCTCAGGAGCAGCCAGCGTCGAAAGCTCTCGGCGCAGCCTCCGATGCCCTCTACGCAAGGTGAAGTAGGCAACGGATCCCTACCCAAGCCGCGACTAACCTTTGAAAGGCGCCATGGGAGAATTGTTGAAATGTCGCTTTCACACCACCAAACCTTGGATGTCAGAAAAAATAAGCACATTGCGAGACCAGGCAAACCAAAAGACCTGACACTGACACCCCCATCTCGCTTGAGTGGATTAGCCTGAACCCCACGGCAACTTGTTGGTTGATTGTGGAGAATGACCCTTTTTGTGCTGCCGAAGTTGGCATAGGACTCCCTCAGTGTCACAGAAATCGGGCCCATGGGCCAAAGCCGCATTTCCCACAGCTATGACTCATTTTGCACGAAAGAACGTTTCAAGCCAACGACACCCGTCGCCCAGCTCACCGAGGCACGCCGCCTTCCCGAGCTGCGCCGAGCGATGGGCGCGGGAGGCCACGTAGCAGGCGCCCAGTAGGGTGATGACGTGGCTCAACACCTCGGACGTGGTGCCCAAGGCTGCTCTTTAAAAGGCCAACATGTTCTGAGTGGGTTGTAGTTCCGGTGCCTGGAGAAAGCTCTTGCATGAAAAAAAGATCTGCTAGGAAAATGGATGAAACTGGAAAAACACATATCTCGAGCAAAACACAAACAAATAGCAATTCCCCAGACAAAAGGTATTGCGCGTGACCAGACCATTGTCCTCAATGTCTTTTGATGTTTGTTTCCCTCAAGTGTGTTTGGTTTAATTGTGTTTTGGACTGAAACACGCTTATAGAAAATCCCCCCAAAAAAGAACTAGAGGATGATTGGCCCGAAAGCCCGAAAGCATTTTTCCACAGGCGCTCATCCAGGTGCGGAGACACCTTTTTACATCGCTGCGGCGAGCGTGTCTGCGCGCGGCGATGCTCAGTGTGTATGGTCACATGAGAGCTCCATCTCATCATCCTACTTTCCTCTCGAACTGCGCCGCGCGATTTCTCACCAAAGTGGTCTGCGCAAGCTGCATTGTTCCAGGCTGCTGCGCGCAAGTTGCTCTCTGCAAGCTGCTGCACGCTGCTGCACGCAAGTGCTCTGTGCAAGTTGCGCAAGTGCTCTGAGCAAGTTGCTCTGCGCAAGTGCTCTGCGCCAGTTGCTCCGCGCAAGCGCTTTGCGCATGTGCTCTGTGCAAGTTGGTCTGTGCAAGTTGCTCTGCGCCAGTTGCTCCGTGCAAGCGCTTTGCGCATGTGCTCTGTTGCTCTGAGCAAGTTGCTCTGCGCAAGTGCTCTGCGCCAGTTGCTCCGTGCAAGCGCTTTGCGCATGTGCTCTGTGCAAGTTGGTCTGTGCAAGTTGCTCTGCGCAAGTGCTTTGTGCAATTGCTCTGTGCAAGTTGCTCTGCGCAAGTTGCTCTGCGCAAGTGGCTCTGCGCAAGTTGCTCTGCGCAAGTGCTGCCGGAGCTGCGGGGGTGTGCTCCGCGTACTACGTTTGTACTTAAAAGTTGCGATTCTCCAGCCGGAGCTGCGGGGGTGTGCTCCGCGTACTACGTTTGTACTTAAAAGTTGCGCGGGAGCACGCTCCGCATACTACGTCTGTACTTAAAAGTTGCGATTTTCCAGCCGGAGCTGCAGGAGTACGGTCCGCGTACTACGTTGCGATTTTCAAGCCGGAGCTGCGGGGGTGTGCTCCGCGTACTACGTTTGTACTTCAAAGTTGCGATTTTCCAGCCTGAGCTGCGGGAGCACGCTCCGCATACTACGTCTGTACTTAAAAGTTGCGATTTTCCAGCCGGAGCTGCAGGAGCACGCTCCGCGCACTACGTTTGTACTTAAAAGCTGCGATTTTCAAGCCGGAGCTGCCGCGGACCAGGGGGGAATCGAACCCGCGACCGCGGGATTGCGAAAGCAGGCGCGCAAACCACGAGACAACTTCCAAAGGCCGTTTCGCGAGCAAGAATATTGCACGGCGCCACAGCGAGAGCACTTCGACACGCACAATCTCCGCAGAGGGTTCGCCGAGACTAAGACAAATTCGCACGGCGCCACAGCGAGAGCGCTTCGACGCGCACGATCTCCGCAGAAGGTCGCGCGCGGACCGCAGAAATCGTTAAAACCCCTCAGTTTTTGAACCTCGACCACGCGAATCTCCGCAGAGGGTCGCGCGCGGACAGCAGAAATCGTAAAAAGTCCTCCGCTTTTGAACCTCGACCACGCGAATCTCCGCAGAGGGTCGTGCGCGCACCGCAGAAATCGTAAAAAGTCCTCAGTTTTTGAACCTCGACCACGCGAATCTCCGCAGAGGGTCGCGCGCGCACCGCAGAAATCGTAAAAATCCCTCAGTTTTTGAACCTCGACCACGCGAATCTCCGCAGAGGGTCGCGTGCGCACCGCAGAAATCGTAAAAAGTCCTCAGTTAATTGACCTCGACCACGCGAATCTCCGCAGAGGGTCGCAATCCCGAGCGACGATCAAACTCCCGCCCCGGCGCCTTAGAAACCTAAACTAACTTACATAGCTGCTAACGCCGAAGCTCTACGCAAGCTCTACCTAACCTTGGCTCTGTGCCACCTGGCTCTGTGGCACCTGGCTCTGTGCCACTTGGCTCTATGTAACTTGGCTCTATGTAACTTGGCTCTATGTAACTTGGCTCTATGTAACTTGGCTCTATGTAACTTGGCTCTATGTAACTTGGCTCTATGTAACTTGGCTCTATGTAACTTGGCTCTGTGTAACTTGGCTCTATGTAACTTGGCTCTATGTAACTTGGCTCTGTGCAACTTGGCTCTGTGCAACTTGGCTCTGTGCAACTTGGCTCTATGTAACTTGGCTCTATGTATCTTGGCTCTATGTAACTTGGCTCTATGTAACTTGGCTCTATGTGACTTGGCTCTATGTAACTTGGCTCTATGTAGCTTGGCTCTATGTAACTTGGCTCTATGTAACTTGGCTCTATGTAACTTGGCTCTATGTAACTTGGCTCTATGTAACTTGGCTCTGAGCAACTTGGCTCTGTGCAACTTGGCTCTGTGTAACTTGTCCAAGGGCTCCGCACGGAAGAACCCTTCGCGATGCTTTCGGGAACTAGAACCACGGGTGGCCCGAAAGCATATAATGGAAAGTGACCAAAAAGGCACAGCGAGCCGACATGCAGGGGTGCCATTGACTGGTTGCTCAAGAGTTGGTGTTGCGCGCGCGCGTGTGCGTGCGTGTGTGGGTGTGTGTGTGTGTGGGTGTGCGTGCGTGGGTGTATGTGTGTGTGTGTGTGCACGTGTGTGCACGTGTGTGCATGTGTGTGCGTGCGTGCGCGTGTGGGTGTGGGTGTGTGGATGTGCGTGGGTGTGTGTGTGTGTGTGCGTGTGCTCGTGCGTGTGTGTGTGTGTCTGCGTAGGTGTAGGTGTGTGTGTGTGTGGGTGTGTGTGTGTGGGTGTGTGGGTGTGTGGGTGTGTGGGTGTGTGGGTGTGTGGGTGTGTGTGTGTGGGTGCGTGCGTGCGTGCGTGCGTGCGTGCGTGCGTGCGTGCGTGCGTGCGTGCGTGCGTGGGTGGGTGGGTGGGTGGGTGGGTGGGTGGGTGGGTGGGTGGGTGGGTGGGTGTGTGTGTGTGTGTGTGCGCGTGGGTGTCGGTTTCATGCACGTGTGTCGGCTTCCGTTTTCTGTTCGCGAGTGGCTTTCGACAGAACTGCATAGCTCGCCGCGCGGCTCCGCACACACCGCGTCCGCCGCCGGCGCGCGAGAGCTCGTCAGCGCATGTGGCTGCGAGCAGAAGGCATCACGCGCCTATAGACTTGTGTGAGCCAGAACATCGTCGCGCGCTCTCCAACATCTTCAGCACCCGCAGGGTGTAGTCCCGGCCGCTCCACGGCCGCAATGAAAGTCTCGCCTGAAGAAGCTGCGCGACGGCGGCCTCCGCGGCCATGCCGTGCGCCACAATGAGCCACGCGCAGAGCATAGCGGGGCTTCGATTGATGCCCCCAACGCAGTGCATCAGCACATTGCAAGGCTCTCCAGCTTGAGCGAGTT